TAAAATGAAAGATTAAGGTGCTTTTGAGGTGGAGTGTCAGGCAATAAATCTTTTCCAATTAAAAAGTACAATTCTTGGCTCGGCACCTATGGCTCAAGCGGCTAAGGCGCAAGCCACATACACCTGAGCTGGTGGGTTCGAATCCAGCCCAGGCTGCCAAAAAACAATGACTGCTGCAACCAAATATAAATAGCTGGGCATTGTGGCAGGCACCTGTAGTCCCAGCTTCTTGGGAGGCAGAGGCAGGAGAATTGCTTGAGCCCAGGAGTTGGAGGTTGCTGTGAGCTGTGACGCCTAGGCACTCTACCTGGGGCGACAGCTTGAGGCTCTGTCTCAAAAAAAAAAAAAAAACCTATCTTTGATAAATAGAAGAGTATGGCATCTGTAAACTCATGTCTTAATTGTACTTGGTTTTGAACTTTATATGTAATTGTATTACATGTATCTTGTGTTTTGCTTCTCCTTTTCCTAGAGGAGGAATTGCTTATTTATAGAGAGCTTATTTGTATTTTCAGATTAACTATATCATGGGATGTTTTAAATTAGCAAGTTTTTTTTTTGTTTTTGTTGTTTTGGGTTTTTTTTTTGAGATAGAGCCTCAAGCTGTCCCCTGGGTAAAGTGCTGTGGCATCTCAGCTCACAGCAAACTCCAACTCCTGGGCTCAAGCATTTCTCCTGCCTCTGCCTCCCAAGCAGCTGGGACTACAGGCACCCACCACAATGCCCGGCCATTTTTTGGTTGCAGCCGTCGTCGTTGTTTGGCAGGCCCAGGCTGGATTCAAACATGCCAGCTCAGGTGTATGTAGCTGGCGCCTTAGCCACTTGAGCCACAGGCGCCAAGCCTATTAGCAAGTTTTTATACAAGTAAGTCTTTGATGTAGAAAAGAAGGAAGGCATCAACGAGTTATTTGTCCTTAATGAAAGTACACTGGGTTTCACTAGTTGGTACATACGAGGGTTTTGTTGTTGTTTTAAGGATCTTGGTCGAATAGCTAGCTCTCTAATTCTGAAAAGGAAGAACAAAAGCAGCATCTAACAAATATTTCTCACCTTAAATAGCTGCACAGTATTTTTTGAACAGTCATCCTAAACTTGGGGTATTTCCCACATTCCCACTTTCCCAGCCTCCCTTGCAGTGAAGGCCCAGGCACGTGCCGTAGCCTTTCAATCAGGTGTACCCATGTAGGCCTACCAGTAGGAAGAGAGTAACAGAGGGAAGCTCTTGAATAATCTGCTGATTTTCAACATATCAGTCACTGTAAAACTTAGGCACAATATTTTAACAAGGAAATAGGATGCTGATTTTTTTTTAATTGAATAATTGGTAACATTTGGTTTAGAAATGTGTTTGATACCTTCGTAGTAAGGAATTTGACCTCACCAAAGGGAGGCCTGGTCTTTGTCTTAGTGCCTGGTGGTAACCTCTAAACATTTGGAATTTCCCAAGAGATAGGAGTGTCTTGTCATGGTGGGCCCCTCAGATCACATCTGATACTTTATACTAACAAGTGACTCATGAAGAACCCCTGAGCCCATACTCCAGGATGGAAGGGGCTAGAGACTGCCTTTAGCTAGTTTTACAATTTTTCCATAATGAAACTGGACACTGAAGCTCCAGTGAGCTTCCTGAGTTGGCAGTACTCCATGCATGTTGTCAAACATGAATGCTAGGAGGATGATGAGAAGCGTTAAGTTTGGAACTCTCATGGACTCTAACCTATGTTTTTGGCTGGTTCTAATTTGTGTCTTTTCCCTGTAATATATGTAACTCTGAATATAATTGCTCTCAGTGAATTCTGTGAGTCTTCCTGGCAAATTATTGAACCCAAGCATAGTTTCAGAAACCCCTAAAATTGCGGTTGTTGTCAAATACCTTGGCAGCCTTGGCCATCTGGCGGACTGTGTCCTGACTTCATGGTTTGGTTCACTCTGGAGAGTGCCTTAAGAAGCCATTGTGCCTGGCCATCAGTGTCTGCAAAAACATCTTTTCTCTATTTTATTATTCTTTTTTCCCCTTTCTTCTTTTTGTCTCTTTTATTTTTCACATCTCTATTAATACCCCTTGTTTTTTAGGGCGGCACCTGTGGCTCAGAGGAGTAGGGTGCTGGCCCCATATGCCAGAGGTGGCAGGTTCATACCCAGCCCTGGCCAAAAACTGCAAAAAAAAATCCTTGTTTTTTATTGATAATTTATGTCCACTGATGGGGCCTGATTCACATAAACAGTGACATCAAGCATTGATAGGTCACTGATCCATGGATTCTATGAAATGTAGATATTTAGATAGATGTAGAATCTATCTAATGTAGATTCAATGTAGAATCTTTCGATATTTATGGTAAACATTTCTTTCTGCAATGAATCATGAAAATGAGAAAATAATATTTATAAAAATAGGATATATTTAAAACAAAAGCCAGAATTGGTTGAACTATAGTTCAGCAGAAGCCCTCTGTTAGATATTTGGTCTCAGGAGTTTTAAATATGTATGTTTCATATATGAAACTCACTTCAATTTGATAAAATAAAAAATTATTTAAAATTATTATTTGATAAGAAGGAGAAACAAGATCTTCATAGAACATTTATTCCATGATCTGCAGGTTAGAGCCAATTTGTGAAATGGGTGACTCTGAAGATGATGAGACCCCCCAGCTTTCTGCCCACACCTTAGCAGCTCTCCAGGAGTTTTATGCTGAACAAAAGCAACAAAGTGACCTTGGTGAGAATGATAAATATAACATCGGAATAATAGAAGAAAATTGGGTAAGTAAATGCATTCCATATCCATCAGAAAATACACAGAAATGTGAACACAAAAAGGAAAAGTAGTCCTAATCCCACTAGTTAGAATTAACAATTTTTTTTTTTTTTTTTTTG